GAGAGTTATGTACTCTTTCCCAGGCTAGTGGCCCTCACTGGAGACAGAGAGCTGGGATGGTTCCAACCACATTCTTAGTCTAGCTACCCATTCTCTCCTATTCCATCCACTGAATTACTGATATCTGTATCACCACATTCCACAGAAAAGATCAGCCAAGGGGGAGCACTCACCAAACTGAGGTTCACTCTGGCTATTGTGTCCCATGTCCTCAGCACCAGGCCTGAGTCCCTACCAGGGAAGCTACCCTTGCCTCAAACTTATGTTCCTCCACCTGGGACCCAGAATTTTCTTCTAGAGCCAGAGGCCTTGAGAGATTCTTCTCTGGTGGAAGGAATTTCCCCAGTGTTCCAATGGGAGTACTAACATCATTATAATAATAGCATACATGTCTATGATTCTTTTTTTGGTTTGTTTGTTTTGTTTTTGTTTTTGCTAGACAATGGAGTTAAGTGACTTGCCCAGGGTCACACAGCTAGTAAGTGTCTGAGGTTGGATTTGAATTCAGGTCCTCCTGACTCCAGGGCCGGTGCTCTATCCACTGCACCACCTAGCTCCACCTATGATTCTTGACAAAGTGCTTTTCTCACAACACTGCTATAAAGCACATAGGGCAAATATTATATTTCCCACTTTACTACTACTACTACTACTACTACTACTACTACCACAATAATAATAACAGATATTCTCATAGTGATGTCATGGTTGCAAAAACACTTTTTATACATGATCTCATTTGATCATTACAATAACTTTGTGATGTAGGTACTAAAGGATATTATTGTTCCCATTTTGCAGGTAACAAAACTGATTTGCCCCAGGATAAATGGCTAGCAAATAGCGGAGCCATGATTTGAACCCAGTGTCCTTGTTCCCAGTTCAGTGCTCTTTCCACTCTTCCATCTATCACTCATGAAGAAGGACCAGGTCTCTGTGCAGACCTAAGCCTAGGAACCTTCAGGGGCTCATTCACCCTAAGCCCTGTGGTTGTGGACCCCTTTGTAGCACCATGACATCTTCATCATTCTGGATGGATGCTGTGCGTTTTAACCGGCCTTGCCCTAGAAAATTGCATTCCAGACCGGGTGTAGACAAGCTGACTCATCTACCAGCATGGCTTGTACTTCTGAAACAGTAATTGCGCCAATCTTCCCCTTCTTAGTTCAGGCTCCCAAAACTGCATCTGCACTTTTAAGCCCCACTCTCAAATACCAATCCAAAACAGTGACATTCTCTGTCTAACCCCTCTTCTCCTGGACTTTGCCAAAGACCCGAAATAGAAAAATCACAGGATTTGAGAGCTGGGGAACCCAAAGGTCATCTAGTCCAACTAGTCTCATTCAATGCAGGAATCTCCCCTAAATTATTCTCAACAAGTGATCATGTAGCCTTTGTTCAAGCTCCTCTATTGATGGGGAACTCACTACCTATCAAATTAGCCTATTCCATTTCCAGATGGTTCCAAGTTCACTGCTCTTAATCCTTATTACTGTCATGCTAGGTAAGAACCAGAAATAGCTTTTAAGCAGTAAAGTGTAGTGGAAAAAGAACTGAACACGAAATCAGAAGACTGAAATTTTAGTCCTGCCTCTAATACTTATGAACTATATGACCTTGGGCAAGTCATTTAATGTTTCTGAGCCTCAGTTTCTTTTTCTGTCGGAATATTGGACTAGATGGTCTTGAAGGTCCCTTTCAGCTAGAATAACCTGTCATTTTGTGGGATCCAAGTCCAGAAGGCAAATCCCACTCCAATGCTTTGAGTCCCCTTTTACAGAGAAGGTGAAAGTCATTAAGATGCACTAGGTAATTATGAAGGTAGATACTGTGCTAAGCACTGGTGATACAAAGAAAGACAAAAGACAGTACTTTCTCTCAAGGAGCTCACAGTCTAATGGGGGAGGCAATAGGTGGACTGACTATATGAGATCGGGGTCTTAATAATGGTCAATTCTTCAATTGAAAGCTAAATCTCCTAACTGGGACTCCAATTCCTGAGTATCATTTAGTTCTCCAGGGATGACACATTTCCCTCTGGACACTGAAGCAACCGAATCCCTTCCTAATCTAACTCCATGTCTAACCAACTTCCCATTTTAGGTATTTGGCCCAAAGACCTTAGAAATTAAAATGTTAGTTCAAGATGCAGCATAAACTACCCCAGAGGGCAGAGACCATTTGCCCAGTGGCCTGTAGGAAGAGGTTACATTTGTGTTCTTTTAGGGGAAGGGAGTGAGGAGCGTAGTGTAATGGAAAGGACCCTGGATTGGAGGTTGGGAAATCTGAGTGCTGGTGCTGATTCTGCCAACAAGTAGCTGTGTTACCTTGGGCAAATGACTTTACCTCTAGGGCCTATGTTTCCTCTCCCATAAAATGAGGTTAGATGAAATGATTTTGTAAGGTCTTTTCCAGGACTAAAAACAGGGACCTGAGGGCATTAGAAACTGCCTTTGCCTGCCCTGCTCTGGAAAAGCTGACCCATCCTGGTCCTAAGGAAACTGAAAACCAGTCTCCCTGATTCATTCAGGAGCGCTGGTTCACCTTACACAAAGCAAAGGCCTGGATAAATGGCTCCTGGCTGATGGAGAGCATAACCCTCCCAAAGGACTCACGATGGGGAACCAGAGTACACATGAATCAGGGAGGAAATGAGAACCTTGTTGGTCTACACTTAGCATAAGTCTCCTCGAGTACAGGCTCCTTTGGGTTCCTCTGGTCACAAGGACAGGTTCAGAGTAGTGGATACGCTTCAGGGTCTCAGAACCTTCCTAGATATGGTGGAAGGTGGAATGCAGGCAGGTGTACTCAGGAGTGTGGGTAGTATGACATAGTGGAGCGCTAGATCTGGAGTCAAAAGATCTGGGTTCAAATCCTGATTTTCTCATTTACTACCTGTTTGACCTTGGTAAGGTCACAACCTCTCTGGGCCTCAGTTGGCTCATCTCTAAAATGAAAGTGCTGGACCAGAAGACCTCTAGGGTCCATTTGACCTCAAAATCCATGGTCCTATGCTTCCAAGAGGCTACTGGGCACAAATCAGCCACATCCCCTCTGTAGTTATGTCTTTTTGTTCTCAGCTCACACAGGACCAGTGAAGACAAACTGTGGGGAGCTGTGTGGTACAACCTAGTATACATCCACCCAAATGCACCTGACCTGATCAGAGCCCCAGGGGCTACAAACCAGATCATGCATGTCACCTCATTGTCAGGAAGTCCCTGTAGTGAAGGTTAGAGTTCACATGGCAAGCTCCATCCTCTTGTTTCTTTAAATCACAGTTCACTACCACTCCTCCAGGAAGCCTTTTCTAATTAATCCCTTTCCATTCTCTAAACTGAGGGTAATCCTTATCCTACTCCTCTCCCTTAAAGCACTTTTTAAATAATAGTATTGATCTGTATGCATTATTATCTGCCCGGACTATATACTCCTTGTGGTCAGGAACCACTTTTCTACATGTCTAATAGCCTAGTACCAGCCTAAACAATCTGTGTTCAAACAATATTCATTGATTTGCAGGCCCAACTCCTCACTGACCAGGCCTTCAGCCTTAAGTAGTCATGGGAGAGAGAAGCAAAGGTACAAGGCTGCTCATTCTGTTTTCTAAAAGATATTGTGAATGCCTGTTTCCTCATCTATAAATAAAACAGAGTATTTTTTTATTTATGTTCTTTATATAAAGCAAAAATATCTGCCCTCTCTTCCTCGCATAGCTGCTGTAAGGATGAAATAAGATAATGTATACGACAGCATTTTTTTTTTAAGTTGTAAGGCTCTGTATGGATGGAACATGGTGGTCTCATTTTCAGTCTCCTCCCATGCCAAGAACAGCTGGAGGGAGTTTGGTTCTCCTGGAAGGATGGTTGTTTATCCCACGAGCATCACAGCAGAAGACTGGAAGCCTGGGGACCTGGGCTCTAGGTCCAGCTCTGCCACCGACTTGTTACTTGACCTTGAAGTCACATTACTTCTCTCACTACCAATTTTCTCTTTTTGAAAATGAAGAGCTTGAGTTAGATAATACTTGTAGTATTCACCTCATAGGGTTGTTGTGAGGTTCAAAGGAGATACTATTGATCGGTAAAGCACTTTGCAAAATAAAGTGATACATACACGCATACATATATACATATGTATATGTATATATATATATGTGCTTATATTTATATCTATCTATCTATATCAAGGCAAATATATATATGTGTGTGTGTGTATAGTTACATGTATCCAGTTAAATTTATATGTATATATATATATATACACATATACACAGTCACATATGTATGTATGCATGTATGCATGCATGCATGTATCTCAATATAGACAGATAGATTTGATTGTCTATGTGACTTTCATTGGTGTAGAGAACTCCCAGGGAGGAAATTCTCTATTAATGCAAAAGTCAGCACATTCTCTGGAAATGATAGCCAGAGAGTTATCTAGAACATTGAGAGGTTAAATGACTTGCCCTGGGTGACACAGCAAGTATGCATCAGAGGAAGGGCTCGAACCCAGGTCTCTCTGGCTCTCTGAGTCTGGCTCTCCATCTACTTAGATAAAACTGCTGCTTGTACGCTTATCTTACTATAGATAATCACCAAGAAATTTACGTCATGAATTTCATTAGTTCCCTATACACTATGCTACACTGTGTCTTAAAGCACACTGTAAATGTTAGTTATGGCTATTATTAGGTGCTCTCCAAGATTCTTTTGTACTTTTAACATTCTGTGTTCCATTCTAAGCTCTGTTCCAGCTCAGACATTCTGTATGCTCAGGTCTTTAGAGCTCTAACACTCTGATTCTGTCATCTTCCAGAAATGCTGTTATAATGCCATCGTTGTCCTCTGCTGGCAGCCTCAGCAACTTGGACCATTTCAGGCACAGGGCTAAGACCCTGAGTCACTCCTCCCCCTCCCTTCCTATCAACAAGTTCCCAGATTTCTTCCTTCTAGCATTTTCTAACCCTAGAAATGATAAATTGGCCATCAACTTACCTCTGAGACCTCAGAGCTTTCTTACGAAGATACCTCACTCAAGCTGAAAGAGACAGGAAGGTCTCCATTCTTAAGCCCCTCCTGGAGCCCAGACTTAAGAGCAAAGAAAGAAGAAATGTCACAGTTCAGTCTGATACTTTAAGTTCCTTCACATCCTCACATCTGACCTAGAAGGCAGATGGATAAACAGGGATGCTTTGACTCTAGAAAGACACTATCCCAGCTTCAATGGTGACTGCCAAGCATCTTCAGTGTCTTACCAGAAGCCCATAAGTCCCCTATGCCAAAAGGCCCAAAAGATCTTCCTTCATCACAATCATGCAAGGGTTTGAGCTGAGGGAGAAAGACGCCAGTGGATCTTCTGTTCTAGTCCCTGCTGCATCCCCTGTATACCATTCTCATCTTGAACTCTTCATCTCTTCCTGTGTTGGGGCTATGACTACCTTCCTGTAAGATTTCAAAAGCCAACAGCCTCAAAGACAAATAATTGAGCTGAGTCTGCCCCCAGACCAGCTTCCTGGATCAGCCACCAGTCTGATAAGTTGAGAGGGCAGATGGTGATGCCGACATCATTCTTTATTCTTAGAGTCAAAACCCTGCACAAACTCAAACAGAGTTCCAAGGAGGAATCAGGTAAAGTTCTCAGTCCTAATGAAAGAAAAAAAAATCCAAAAGCTGTTGCCTTTCCTCTTTATCTGCCCTGAAAAAAAAAGGGGGAAAAGACAAAGAAAACATCAATGTTAATATGCATATTGGACAAGTGGAAGTACTGAGATAGAAATGTTGAAAGTAAAAACCAGAGTGCTGCTGATCTGGGATAGTCTCAAACTCTGAATAGCTCCTAACTCCTCATCCCATGATGTTATTCCTCTGTCTTCAACACTGGTTGAGTTGCTATTCTAGAATTGGGCTCAGCTCACACTCTTGGCAGGCAAGGCTCCAAGGTGGGGGTCCTTGATGTTTTTTGTCTCAGGGACCCATTTGGCAGTTTGGTGAAGCCTTTGGACTTAGAGTAATATTTTAAATGCATAAAGCACAATGTATGGAATTGTAAAGGAAACCACATATGAAAATAAAGAGTTATTTTTTTCCCCATTCAAGTTCAAGCACTCCCTGAAATCTATGCACAGACTTCTTGGGGAGGGTGTCTGTGGGCCCCAAGTTAAGAACCTCTACATTTGGGAAGTTAACAATATTATTTGCCAGATCCAGAAGGACAAAGGAGCTTTTCTGAAAATGTCAGCTTTGCAGGTTTTTGGAAGACTACCTTTGAATGTTCCTTGTGGGCAGGGACCACTTTTTTATGTGTCTAATAGCCTAGTTCTAATAGCCTTTTCTGTTCTTGCAAGACAATATAACTTCTTCCTCTCCCCAGTACAACAGCAAATACAATTACAGTATAATTTAATAAGCAGTTCTTAAACACTGTTTAGCCAGCACTCTGGTGGGCAATGGGAATGACACAAAGTTTAGATACGACTTGGTCCCTGCTTTCAAGTTCAGAGTCTAGTAGAAGATAAAATACCAACAGAGAGGGTTATAATACACATGGCAAGGGCATCCAGATTATAAATTGTAGAGATGAGGGAATCATAGATTAGAGGGAAAACTATAGGGACACCAAGAAACAGGGGAGTTTAGAGACTTGCCCAAGACAACTAGGAAACATAACACAGAACCAACCATGTGAAGTCTGAGAGGGAAGGTTGTTGTGAATGTGGGATGGGAGTGTGGAAGTCTCCAGCATAATTGCCACTCAATTTGAAACAAGTAGTTTGGGAATTGCTAAGTATCTTGCCCAGCCTCCTTTTCCAAAGAACAAATAATTCTAATCCAAGGACGCAGAATGTCAGGGTTGGGAGACACCTCAAACTTCAAAGACCTTCTAGTGTAACCCCCCCCCAATTTTGTGGAAAGGGGAACTAAGACCCAGAGAGAATGACTTCTCCAAGGTCACACAGCTAGCAGCCCATATTCCTATAACATTTTGTAGTTTAACAAAGCACTTCTCCTCACAACCATCTTGTGGGATAGGAAGGACAAATATGTTACCTCTGCTTTTACAGAGGAAAAACATAGTTGCTAGAAAGCTGCCTTAAAGTCAAGAGGTCCTGGGTTCAAACCCCATCTCTGGCTGTGTAACCCTAGGCAAGCACTTAAGTTCTTTGTGTTTTAGGCACCTCTCTAATACTGTAAGTTGCAGAGAAAGTGCCAACTTGCATTAGGACAGGGAGTTCCCTTACTTGGGAATTCCTTATACTATGAAACCATAGGTCTGCTCCTCATTTCTATCTTACAGATGGGGAAACTGAGGCACATGGAGGTTGAATGACTTGTAGTTGAGCTAGAATTTGAACCCAAGTCTTCTGACTTCAAGGCCTGTGTGCTTTTCACTATGCCACATTGTTGCTCTAGTAAACTCCTTTCCTTATTGCATTATAATTCAACCCTTTCATTATTTTTTTGTTCATTCATTCAACAAATATCTACTGAGCACCATAGTATGTACAAGGTGCTGTGCTAATTAACATGTGGGATATAAAGTTGTACAAAACCTAGTTCATACCTTTAAGGAATATCCCGCGGTATATACCATGTTGGTAGCACAACTTGAATCCACATTCAGCCTTGAAATAGAATCTTTTAGACTTTATTGTGACATACAAATGAAGACAAATGAAAGCAGGCAGCCCAGAGGAGGCAGGAAACCACAAGTCTCTGGGCTAAGGACCTTGCTGCTACTTGTCACCATGATGGAAGAGAGGCCCACAATCACTAGACATTCAGTTTTATCCATCTTTTCCTAACTTTATTTTATGGCTGGATAAAACCTCGATGTGTACAGTCACAAGCATATTCATGGCATGGTTGCATGCTTTGCTGAACTTTGACTTTTCCCTCCACAGGGAGGGAGAATTTTAGGGCCAGGAGAGAGAGGAGAATCTGCCTGCATTGGAATTTCTCGATTCCTCTTAAATCCTTGGGCAAACTGCCTTAACTCTGTCTCTCAGCTACCTCTTTACCCCGCAACTCTGAACTGGCTTTGAGGGACAGAGGAAGCCCAAGATGATTTTCAAGTGGGGGGCTTTCTACCTACTTCATAATTGTGGTCAGTAAACCAGGACAGCATGAGTTTAACCTTCATTTACTCGAAGATAAAACCCTAATACTTCCTGCCTGAGGTGGAAGAGGCTTGCAGGAAGGGATCTCATTGACAGTACCCTATATCTGGTATGTGGTATTTGGCCCTGTCAAATGTCTTGCTGCATACATTCCTTCATCACTCAGAGTGCAAGTTAATTTTTTTAGTGTATTTCTTTATTTTTATTGTGATAAGATGTCATCTTCTGAGAGGGCGTATAAGAGGATGTTGATATTGCTGTGTAAACCCATATTTCTCTGGTAGATCAAAAAAAAAAAAAATCAGTCTTCTCTCTCCCAAGGGGCATGGGCCAATGATTCAACATCATGAAGTAGGGAAGTGATTGGAAGCAATAGTCAGTATAACTGGTGGATCAGGAAAAGTTGATCATCCCTGTTACATTAAGAATTATCAAAACCCTTTGGGTCTTCCAATATTCTCTACTTCCCTTCAGTGCCAGAGGAAGTGGATTTCATTAACAAACCTAACCCCTCTACTTATCCTTGATCTCACCTCTTGCATCTCTTGTATCTTGCATGGGCCTCTCCCTCCCACCTACATCTTCCATCTTTTCCTCTCTACTGACTCCTTCCTCTCTGCCTACAAAAATATTCAGTTCTGCCATATTCCAAAAAACAAACAAACCCTTCATTTGTCTCTGCTATCTCCCCACCCAAGTTGTCTCTTTCAACTCTCCTCCACTCCTAGACTTCAAGAAAGAGAAATCTATCTTTACCACCTCCACTTTATCACCATCTACCTCCTCCTTAATCCCTTGCAACCCGACTTTGTCTCTACAACTTTACTGAATCTACTTTCTCAAAGGTTACCAATAAATGACTTCCTAATTACCAAATCCAATGACCCCTTTACAGTCTTCATTTTCTTTGACCCCTCTCCTGTCCTTGATGCTTTCTCTTCAATAGGCTTCTTTGGCATGGCTAGATCCTGGTTCTCCTATACTCTCTGACCACTCTTTTCAGGTTCTTTTACTGGTTCCTCTTCATTCTCCTACCTCTTGAGTGCACAACTCCCAAAAGGTCACTTTTTTCCTTTCTTTATACTCTCTTCCTTGGTGTTCTTATTCACTACCTTGGCTTCTATCATCTCAATGCAGATAACTTCCAGATCTTTACTTCCAGCTTGAACTTTGAGTACTACTCTTACAACTGCTAATTGGACAAGCTGTACTTCAATGTCCTGTCTATACCCCAAATTCAACATGTCCATAAGAGAACTCATCCAGAGAGGTTAAGTTATTTTCCCCCTCCAAAATATGGTCCTCCTTCTAGTACCTCTAGTTATTTTGATACAATACGTCTTCTATTACGTGCCTACCATGTACCTACCACTATTTTCCTATACACAGAAAAATTCAATGATATTCTTGACTTTTCATTCTATTCTCCTACCCATCTAAATAGCTACCATATCCAAAATTCCTCTCCCATATATCCCTTTCTTTCAATTAATACCACTACCATCTTAGTTCAGTCTCTTATCACCTCTTGCCTGGACTACTATTAATAGCTTTCTAACTGGTTTCCCTGCCTCCAGTCTCTCTCCTCTCTAATCCATCCTTCATATCTCTGTAACAGTAATTTTATCAATGCAAAGGAGAAGAAGAAGGAAAGGAGGAGGGAACAAGCATTTATTAAGTGTCTATTATATGCCAGGCACTGTGTTAAAAGCTCTATAAATATTATTTCATTTGATCCTCACAACAACCCTGGGAGATAGGTGTTAATATTATCCCTGTTTTATAGCTGAGGAAAATGAGGAAGACTAAGGTTAAATGACTTGCCCAAGGTCACATAGCTAGTGTTTGAAGCTAGAGTTGGACTTGGGTCTTTCTAGACTCCAGGCCTAAGTGCTCTATCCATTGTGCCATCTAGCTGCAAGAGTCTAACAGTGTCACTCCCATACTCAAAGCCTTTATGTGT